TTGCTCTCTTGCTTCAACGGCATTTGCTGACATGACAGACTCTTGAAAGGCTTGAGAACGACGGATTGCTGCTATATTGAAGGATCCTGGCCTAGGGCTCACTCTAGGACATACGTAGGTGTTGGTCTACACTGAAGGGTAGTTACCCAGAGAGACATTGTAGAAGAGTAAGTTTTTCCAGGCGCCCAGTTGAAATATATCAAACAACAAACTGCATTCGAATATTTGAAATCGCTCACATCTAGTGGGCAACATTCATTTTCTCTTTCAGCTAGGCACCTCTTTCAAGACAAACCTTATATATTATGCGAAATCTAGTAAGAATACCAATCTTGGGACTTCGAAATACGAGCCGATCTCGGTTCCCCCTTTCAACCCCAGACTCACTCCGTATCCGAAATAACTCTCAGCTTAATCATACTAGACTTGGGTTTCGTGAAAAGCCCCTCCGTCAACCCAGGATCCTCCAGCTCGGCAGGCAACTTCAAAAACTCCAAGTTCCACACCAAAAGCGTTACAATCATCCTCATCTCCAGGTACGCCAGCCGTTTCCCCCAGCAGCCCCTGGGCCCGCTGCTGAAACTCATAAACGGCCCAGCATTGTTATTGAATTTGACCGCCTCGCCCTCGACCTGCAGCCATCGCTCGGGGCGGAAATCCTCGGCGGGGAAGTCGCTGTGCGACCAGTCGCCGACGCCCTCGCTCGATGCCTTCTGCGAGGTCTCGCTGCGTTTTGCGTCGTCGACGGGCACCCCTGGTTGTACAAAGGTCGGACCGGTGAGGAGAAACATGAGTGTCGTGCCCTTGGGAATGATGTGGCCCAGGACGTTGATGTCGCGGACGGTTTCCTTGGTGATGGCTCCCGCGGGACTGCACAGGCGGAGCGTTTCCTCGATGAAGGCGTCCAGGTAGGGGACCTGCGTCCTGAGGATCTCTTCAATGGTGGGTTCGCGCTTCTGCGCATATGGCCCGTTGTAAGCGGATCGCAGGGCGCTTCGCAGCTTTTGCTGGGCCTCTTGGTGCGCACCGAGATACTTGACCGTGAAGCACAGGGTGCTGTGGGTAGAGTCCTGGCCGCCGGCGATGTATCCCCACAGCATATCGTTCAGCTGCATGCCATCATACTTTGGCTCACGCCCCTCCTCGACGGCCGCTGTCTTCTCCCGGGAGACGACGTAGTCTACCGCCGACTTGTGCTCCGACGAGCCACCCTTGGCGGCTCTCTTGACAGCGGCATCGATCTGGGCTTGTACTGCATCCTTCTTCAACTTCAGGGCCTGACGCGCTTTGGGCTTCAGGTTCTCGATGAAAACGGACAGCTTGGGGAACACGGAGCCAAAGACCGCCGTGATGGAGACGTTGAGGACGTGGAGCGCTGTCACAAGGGCCGGGGTTTCGGGTGACGGGAACTTGGCAACCTGTGCGGACGAACCGCTCGGAACCACAACGTCGTTACCGGCATCTTCAAGGAGCTTGGAATATTTCGTCGTAGTGCTCTCCTCGTACCCGACGCCAAAGACGGCTGTCATCATGATGTCGTAGGTGAGGCCCTCCAAGTCCTCGACAGTCTCGAATGGCAGCCCCTGTGCGAGAGCTGCCTTGCGTTTCCAGAGGCGAATGAAGTCAGAGATGGCTACGTGCGACGCCGGGGCAGAGACCTAAGGGCACGTTAATATTCGTTGACTTGGGTACCTTGGATGCGTTATATCAAATTGATATACTAGAATGAGGTTAAGGGGTAGGGAGATATCTTACAGAGTGAAGGAAACTGTTCGTCATCAAGTCCTTGGTAAGAAACCTCGACTTCTTAAACGACGGGTGCGCGTCCTCCATGGCAATAAAGTGCTCCGACAAGAACCCCTGCCACGCCACGTTATTCATGTACCCGCGACTGAGCTCCTTGCTCCGCTTCGCCATGAGATCCCTCGACTCGCGATAGTCGGCGACAATGACGAGGGGCTTGGAGAAGGGCAGGAGGACCTGCACGACGGCCGACTTGTGCTTGGCCACCAGGTCGTAGAAGAACCTGGTCCGGAAGCGCGCCGCCTTGTCATACTCCGCAAAGTACGGGACGTCGCCCGAGATACGACGCGCCGAGTCTTGGTTATGCGGGAGGCCTGGGATGGGCTTGGGCATGAGCCAGTTGTAGATGAGGCGGAGGAGGAGAGCGGCTGCCGCTATGGCTGCGGTGATGGTTGTAAGTCCTGCCATTTTCACTGTGTTTATGAGAGAGTGGTTTCCGAGTAACGCAGATTCGTTTGACTTGGTCATGTTCCCAAAACTGTTAGAATCCTGAGACGACACCAAGTCATCTTATACGATACATGCTTCGCCTCTCGACTTGGAGATGAGGCTACTCGGGATCTTCATTACTCCCCGTCAAAATAGACTCCGTTAGAGACTCCGCTGGAGTCAAGGTAGATGTTACACCCGCTTGGAGTATTCGGATTGTAAATGACCGACTGCGCAGTGGCCTTCGGACAACTCCTCTAATCACAAAATCTACAGAATTATGGATCTGCAACGGTCCCGGGAAGCTATCCTAGCCCACCGACTATAACAAGGGTCTTTTGAATTTAACGACGGCCTCCGGGCGGACTAGTATTTGTAAATCCCGTAAAGCCAAGAATACGGACACGGCACTTGAATAGGAGAAAGTGGGCGTGTAGGGCAAATAGACTCTGCGCATTGAATCAGCACTATTCCCTTACTCCTCCTCCGTGAATGATAATTAAGAGGACAATGGAACTACCGGACTTTCGGCCGAGTGACTCTGTTGCAAGTTCAAACTTTCCGCTCGTCGCCTTTTAGATCTGTTGAGTAAGTCCGGACAAGGCGCACCATTGGTATTATCCGGGTCCGCCTTCGCCTCCATGTCCGCCACTACCACGGCGCAGATCGATTCTCAGCACCGCTTCGCGGGCCTCATCTAATGAATGATACGATTGTGAGAATGACTCGGTTGATCTCTCCTAGACAGACTTGAAATTGGAGCAAGTACGCTCCTACGCTACGTCTTCTAGGACGATTTAAAATGACGGTTCTTTGCGCAAATATCGATCGTATCGTATGCCAGAATATATACAAAATAGGCATACGTTTCAATGGCAAGACTGAGGCCAAAGGCCTGTAAATGGCACGCTGTACTGGGTCAAACATAGTCACTGGGGATCTGCAAACACTACTTTTCACAAAAGCACTCTGGACTTCCAAATCTTCCAAGACCGACGAACTGCACTCTAGATAGAAGCAGTGTATTGACCATTATCCCGGGAGGCTGGTCGAATTCCACTTCGACTGAAGTGCCCTCTATCTAGAACTTGCCCCCAACCAGTGAATCATCTCAGCCGGTGACTTCATCCGCGAATCAACGAAGCAAGACCCAAGACAAACACACATACGAGGATATCGCTCCTCACCGTCAAGAAGATCTGTCCATACCGCAACGCAGTCTCGGCGTAAGTCTTGATCGAACCAGGCAAGAATCCCACAACAGTCCACAACATGCCCGGCGGAGGCGCCCGTCCACGCTCAATGAAGAACCTCGTCGTGAGCAACACAGCCTCAGTCGTCGCAAAAATCCAGAAGAAGATCTCGCGGCCTTTCTCCATACTGTTGACGTCCGTAACTGCCTCATCGCTACCCGTAGGGTAATTGTAAGATAGTGCCGTGCGCTCGCGTTCAAGCTTGCTTCCAGAGAAGGTCGTTGTAAGGGCGATGTAGAGACCAAGAGAGATCGCAAAAACGGCGTGGACAATGCGCCAGATGTAGGCGGACGAAGCGGCTTTGGCTTGTTCGGGCGTTTGCATTCCAGGCATACCAGGCATGCCTGGCATACCAGGGAATCCTGCCGGGAAACCACCCTGTGCACCGCCGGCGCCGGGAAAGCCTGGCATTCCGCCGGGAGCGCCGCCACCGGCCATCATCTGCGAGAGCATCTTCATCAAGGGATCGTCTTCGCCGCCGGGCATGCCTCCTCCCATACCGGGACCCGCAAAAGGGTTCTGCGGGGCTCCGCCCGCGCCAGGGCCCTCGAAGCCCAGCATCATTTGTCGAAGCTGGTCCTCGTTCATAGAGTTCGGGTCGAAGGGCGGTCCAGCGGCAGCGGGACGGGGTGTCGAGGCCGGTTCGTAGTAGTGCTGGGAGATGTCGATTTCCTCGGGGTCTGCATGGTCGGCGCTCACGCTGGGCTTCGGCAGACCTGATGTGGCCGGAGCTGGGGACGATGATGCTGAGGGAGGCGTCGATACGGGCTCATCTAGATAGAAACCGAAAATTAGCATTTGTGAAGCTCAAAACCGGCGTCTGCACTTGCGCAAGGTGTCAAGAAGGATTCGGTCATCGTACCTCGCTGAAATCCTCCACCAAGACCAGTAATCTTGTTCAGTCTCGCGGTACCGCCAGCACGAATTTTGGCCTCGCGCTTCGCCTTGCGCAGACGTATTTGTTCAGCGGCGCGTTGAGCCGCAGCATCCTCTGACGTTGACTCCGTCATCGTGATTGATTTGGTTTGTTGGCTGTGGAGTGACAGGTTGTCGAGGTGTGACGTTTTGTGGATGATGTTGGCTTTAGCCCTCCCTTGCTTATCTTATCATGGCCAGGTGCCAGCTTACCCCTACCTTTAGGTAGTGAGCTCCAGTCAAGCCACCCAAACCTCTCACCTTCGACGAAAATCGCACTGGTACAGGTCTTGCCAGCCAGCTGCAATTCCCATGCCAGGAACAATTGTAACTGCGCCAGTATTTGCAGAACTGTTAATCTCGACGCCGACTCCATAAAATGGCCGAGTGATCTTCTCACCATCTCAATCGAAATTTCGCTGTCCAACTTTCACTGTCACAAGTCCAGATCATCACAGCATCAACCACGGCAGACTTGCAGGCACTTAATCACAGTCTCCACATTCGACTTAAGCTCTAGTGTATACGTAAAAGCGCAGTTGGCTATCATCAACATTTCATGTCCCATGACATCCCATCCCCTTAACTTCGAGAAGGCACTCATGGAGTGGCCTTGCTCATGCTGATCAAACGCTTCACACCGACCTGGAATAAGACATTAGTACATAGTAAGTAAAGTGTTGTAGCAGCGAACTTACCATCCAGTTACCGCATTCATCAGTCTTGTCCCGCTGAATCTCGACTTGGATCTTGTGAGCAACCTCATAATTCTTCTGCTCAATAGCCTCGCCCAAAGCACAAAGTTGATCGATTGTGTCAGGCTTGACCAGCTCCTCGTTGTTCAAGTGATCAAACAAAAGATTGAGGCGCTTTTGAGTATCCTTGACCTGCGCAGCAAAGGATGAAGGCGCGCGAGAAGCTACACGCTGCATATCCGAGCTGAGGACATCGACCAGTCGCTGGGCGTGAGCTGGAATGTGCGACCTGTCACCAGCTGGGTGTCTGGCCTTGGGCGGGGCAGCCGCCTTGGGGGGAGGAGGGGTCGGTTGAGCTCTGGCAGCAGGCGGGGGCCCGTTGGAAGGAGGAGGGCCAGTGGGCGGCCTCGAGGCTGCTGTAGGCGGGGCTCCGTACGGCGAAGCCGCGTACTGGTTTGACGGTGTGCTCTGCTGGGGCGGCGGCGCATAAGGGTTTCTCGGGGGAGGCTGGCTTCCGGGAGGTGGCATAGAGGACCCCAAGGGGGGCTGGCTTGCTTGCGGCTGGGCCGAGGGAGCGGGCGCGTAGCGGTTAGAGGGGGCAGGGCCAGATGGAGGAGGGTTGTATGGCGAGGCAGTGCGAGGCATGGTAGGTGGCGGCATCGCGCCAGGCTGAGGGGGCGGAGGAGCGTATGCGTTCGATGCCGATGATGTTGGCCTAGGCGGGGCCTGGAAAGTCTGGGGAGGTCCGGCCAGAGGAGACGTGACACGAGGCGGGGCAGGGCCTTTGGGCGGCGGAGGAGGAGGCGTTGAACCAGTGCGTCCGTACGGGCTCTGAGGCGGGGGACCCGGTTGGTTAGGTTGCTGAGAGAACGGCGAAGAGATTGGAGCGACGCTAGGAGTGGTCTTTCTTGGAGGAGGTGCTTTGGCAACCAGAGGTACATCATTCCAACTCTCCTTGGGGCGGAAGGACGTAGTGGGCGTGGAGTTACGCGGCGGCGGTGGCACCGAACCGAAGTTTGAGGGAGGTGGTCCATAGCCCGAGGGTGCCTGATAGGCCGGCTGGGCGACGGGAGGCTGGTAGCCTTGGCTCGGGGCGTAGGGCGACTGGCCGGCAGGCGTGTAACCACCGATTGCCGGGGCAGCCGGGGCATACGGGTTCGACGCAGCTGCCGGTCCGGTTGCTGCCACGAGAGCCGGCCCCGTTGGTGCGTACGGGCTAGCACCGACAGGAGTCTGAGCAGGGGCAGTGGGCTGGTAGGACTGATAACCGGGGGTGGCCCGGGGATTGGCCGCCGCAGGAGGCTGTCCCGGACGACGTCCAGCAGCCGGCGCCTTTGGTGCAGCCTGCGAGACGGCGGCCTTGCCCGTAGCCCGTGCCAAACGCTCCCTCGCCAGCTGCGCCTCAGGGTACTCCTTGGGTAGCAAGTCCAGGTATTTCTGGGCAACTGCGAGTTGACCGTGGGCGGCAATGATTTCGGCGTACTCAGTGTACTTCTCGTACAAAGCTGACAGCTTCCAGTCGGCAGATTGCTCCTTTCCAGAGTCCTGGAACTTTGTGACTTGACGGAAGATGGTCACCTTCTCGATGAAGTGCTGAAGTGATCGAGCGTGCACAGAGAACGTCGAATCATCGCTAGGTTCCTGCATGCCAGCCTGCTCGGCCTCCTCAAGCTCTGTGATCCAGATGGAAACGACCTTCTCGAGCTTTGACCCAACGAGGAAACAGAAAGAAGCATCCTTGCGTGAGCCGTTCTCGAGGATACGGTCGCCAAGAGCCTCGCAGAGATCGGGGAACTCTTTGGGGTCAGAGAACGTGCAAAGAATGGCCATTGACTCCTTCCAGTTCTCGAGGTCGGCGTTGTAGACAACATCCCACAGGTTCTTGGCAATAACTGATCCGAGCAAGCGAACGTAGCTTGGGACACCGTCCTTGCTGGCCAAATAGGCACTCTGCACCTTGTCCACCAGCTCCTGCCCACCGCAGTTGGCAATGAGGAAAGCATCTGCCCAACGCTCTTCCTTGAGGGAGATCTCAGTGGCCTTTGCAAAGTTTCCAAGCATCAAAGCCTTGGTGATGGACTTCTCCACAGTGGTATCCGTGTCGGCCAGCAGGTGGAAAGGACTGTCCGTCTTGGCGCCCTTGGTCGCAGAGAGATTCGACAAGAAGTCTTCTTCCCCTTCTCCGTCGGCCTCGCCCCACATGTTGTCGGGCTTCTCTGCCTCCTTCGTGTCCTCCTCCTTGTCAGCCGCAGCATCCTCAGGCTTCGCCTCTTCTTTGCCCGAGACTCCGTTGGTGATCTCTTCCTCGTTGAATCCGAGGTACTCAACAATACGCTTCCGCGGATTCTCGCCAGTAAGAGTTTCCATCACAAGCCAGTCCGCCTTCTCCTCCTCGGTCTTAGCCTGTTCCTTACGAGACTCGCAGAGACCGACAATATCGCCTGACTGCAGAGACTCCTCGAACTTTTCCGTGGAGGTACCGATGGACGAGTCAACAGAGAACTGGGAGATGGAGATCTTGGTGGACTTTTGCTGGGCATTTTGCTTGAAAATGACAAGCTTTCCGCCAAAGCCAAAGGTAGCTCCCACTGGACGCTCGAACCACTTGGGGGCTTGGCTCAAAGAGAACGACGCTCCCTGAGGCTGCGTCTGAGCACTGGTAAAGAAGTCTTCACCATCGAGATTGTTGTTGGTAGCGGCCTGCGTGTTCGTAGGGTTGGTGTTCTGAAGGGTCTGGACGGTGATCTTGCCGTCAAAACCAGCAGTGGCAGAAAGATTGGGGTTGACGGGGTTGAATCGAGTGAGAAAGGTCCAGTTTGTAACCTCAGGGAACTCTCCCAGTCTCTCTCCCGTTTGAGGGTTCCACACCAGAGTCCTGTTATCTTTGCCGCAAGAAAGCAGCAAATCGCTGTCCTGCTGGCACCAAGACAGGGAAAGGATACCCTGCTCGTGTCCCTGAAGCGTCCTCTCGGGCGCATTGGCATTTCTGAGATCCCACAGAAAAATGACGGGAGCAGTATCGTCGTGAGTGGCGGTCAGGAGCTTCGTTGAGTTGTTGGGATCCCACGCAATGGCGCTGACGGGCTTTCTGTTGTTGTTCAGGGTCAAAGAGGCCTTCTTGGTCTTCAAATCCCAAACAGTGACGAAACCGCCAGAGCCTCCGGTGGCGAGAATGTGCGCAACCTTGCGGTTCCATGCGACAACTTCCAGGTCGTCAGCGCGAGCAGCGGCGGTTCCCAGTCGGAATGGGTTCTCCACATCGTTGATGTCGTAAACGAACAATTCTCCCTTTGCGCCGGCGGTCGCAAGAATATTCGGTCGGAGGGAGTTGAACTGGAGGGACTTGATCGCACCGGTGTGCTTCGTTGTGCGGGACATGAAGGCATCCTCGGCTCCGTCGATGAGCTTCTCGGCATCCCACAAGTCGAGAGAGCCATTTTCGAGGGCACCTGCGATGATACCCCTCGGGTGGTCGGAATCGGCCGGTCCCCAAGCGAGGTCATAGAATCTAAGTGTCGTGAGCCAAGATGTCTGATTGGTAGTGCGGCAGCAGAGCCTACCTCGAGTCGGTGCTGATGCTAGCTATGGGCTGCAGCTCGAGGCCTTGGTCTTGGTTGTCAAGGTTGAGGTCCCACAGCTCCAGCTTGGTCTCATCAGAAAAGTCGGCATCGACAGCTCCAGCTCTAGTGCCGGTGATCAAAAGAGGCTTCGACGGGTCGGGGGACCAGGCGAACGCCGCGGTCCTTGGGATCTCGCGGAGGCGAACCATGATTGCGAGAATCACTCAGTCCCCAGGACTGCACTCGGAGGGAGGGGGGAGACGTTGCTATAAGGAAAGTCGGCCAGTCTAAGAAAGACAAATCTAGCTGCGAATTGGCATTGGTTGACGTGACAGTGACAAGAAGATCTGGCGAGGAAAGCCGAGATTCTCTGGAGTTGAGAAAAGTAAAACCAAGCCTTATGGGAGAGGTGGCTATTAGTCGTTGAGGCGGTAGTGTCACAGTGCACGCTGGCCCTTAGGGAAATATGATGCCAGATTGCAGCCCCATCCCAAGCTCTCCAAGGCCTAAATCGCAGCCATCCATACCCCCCTAGCACTGGACCGTGCACCTCTCAACTGGCCCAAGCAGGAAAAGTAGCGTCACGTGCATCGTCATCACAACAGGGAGAGTGGAAGGCGGAGAGCAGCGGCGGGACATGGAATCCATTACATAAGCGGCCATCTTCACGATGCATCTTCTTTCCTCGGCAATTCCATACATCCTCATTCAGGATGAGAAAGTAGAGGTACAGAAACAAGCCTGTAGAAGTAGGTATCTCCGGCAGAAGATGATGAGGCAGGTTTCCAAAGTCGATGTTGAAGGTGGGTATACCTCAAGGTACCTTACATCAGTGGAGGGGAAGAAGCGAGCAATTGTCGTTGGGTATGGCTTACGTAACTGAACGCTAAGACACCCAAAGAACCACGGCACAGCTCCAAGTAGCTAAAATCCACTTCAGCCAATAGAGACTTACAACAGCTCTTGCGCAGAAACTCCACTTACTATCAGAAAGATTCACTCCATTATCACTTAGCCGCGCTCATTCTCGAGGTATTGCTACGCAGGTTCACGAACTCAACCATCGCCAAACGAATAAAATCTGGGTCAAGATGACGGACGCTGCGCGCTGGAAATCGACCGTCTTCGTTGGTGGACTGGCCTCCATAGTGACGGCCGCCAACGTTCACGATGCATTCATCCCCTTTGGAGAAATTGCCGATGTGTCGCTACCGAAGAACGACAAGCCAAACTCAACAGATCCTCACCGTGGCTTCGCTTATGTTGAGTATGAAGATACGGAGGACGCGAAAGAAGCCATCGACAACATGGATCAGTCAGAATTCTTCGGGCGAGTCATCAAGGTGTCAGCCGCTAAAGTTCCCAAGAGCGCAGACGAGGGCTTGGGCAGCAAGAAGGCTGTCTGGGAACAGGTCAGTCATTCCTTGAATATATGTCTCACATCTTTTGTTCGCGGTTCTCACTACTTCTTATCTTCTTCTTTCTTTACTCTAAATTCTATCACTCTGCTACTCTGTCTCTCCTCTGATTCATATTCCTGCCTCATCGAGCTTTAAACAACGTACTAACATCCATCATAGGAGGGATGGCTGGCAGAGCATGCTGTTGGAGAGGAGGATGGATTGGCAACAGACCAGGGCACAGCACAGATTGAGATGCGTGGGGATGACCCCATGCAAGGTTTGGAGGGGCTCGATGTCGCGGGACCACGACCAGAGTGAAGATGACTTGGTGTGGACGAAGGCGACTGGAGCCTGTTTTGAATTACATAGCGACGGCGTTCACATGGATTTACTGAGATATAAAAGGGGCACGGCTTTTCTCTAATACTCGAGGCGGAGAAGCACAATGAGAAAGGAAATGAAAGCAGCGTCTCTGGTGCCTTTTGAGCTGTCTTTGTCGTAGACTTATACAAACTGATCCTCCCTAATAACACACGAGCGCCATGGTCAACCGTTGTCCCGTCGTCCTCATAACCTTCGCTTAGTGGTGCTCCTCTCCGTGGCCGGCGTCGGCGGCAGACTTGCCCTGGCGCTTGAGACGGATGGTCTTGTCGGTCATGAAGTGACGTCCGACAGAGTAGGTGGCAGCGGCCAGAGCGAAGCCAACGACGACACCTGTATGCCGTCAACAACAATTTGACGTAACCTTGAATGTCTAATGACGTACCGAGGGGGATCAGTTCGGGGGGGATCTGGCGGAGCTTGCGCAGTCTCTGGGAGACGGTGTGGCCTGGAATCAACAATATCAGCTCTTGTTAGCCATTTCGCAATACCACAGTTTATCGTCGAGATCGGTATCCGATATCGCGGGAGCCTTCAATGGCTGGGGGCGGGTTTCGACGTACCGACTTGGTCCTCGGCCTAAGGGGAGATGTGAGAATTAGCGATTGCGCTCATCCGGGCCGGCGAAATTTCAACGTACGGGAACGGGGGACATCATGCGCAGAGTCGGGCGGAAAGCGCGGAGACCGAGAGTAGGACGCATTTTGGCGATTTTGTTTTTTTCTGAAGAGGGGAGATTTTTCGGTCCTGTCGGTACGGCGGGAGGGAGCGTAGTTGATCGGGATTGGATCTCAAAATGAGTGTTTAGAAGTTGGACTGGACTTCCATCGGTCTGGTCTGATGTTGGACTGGAGCTCGGCCCACCTTTCTAATGCCTGAGGCCCGATTGGCCATCTTCAGGCATCCACCCGTTCTCGCCCGTCACCACCTGATTCTCGGTGCAGAAACGACCATTCAATTGCTCTCAAAGCATCAACACCGATCGCACGCCGTTGCCCACTCGACCCCATCACCAGATCCGACTCCCAGTCAATTGAACTCGCAAGCCGCCAAAATGTCCGACGATCAGGAGCTCGTTACCAAGCCCTTCAAGTTCGTTACCGGTACGCTGAAGAAATATCCCTCTCCAAAGTATGGTCTGATCTTTTTTCCGAGGCTAACTGATGACCACTATAGCCGGTATGAACCCTCCGCCCGAACCACCGAAACCCGCGATAGCGTCACCTCAATTGAGAGCGGGAATGATGAGCGACGTGAACCTAACATGAGCTTGAACAGGCACCGATGCCCGCTACCCGAACATGAACCAGACCAAGCACTGCTGGCAGAACTACGTCGACTACCACAAGTGCATCAACGCCAAGGGCGAGGACTTCGCCCCTTGCCGCCAGGTCCGGACCGTCCGCGAGTTCTGTTGAAAACTGAAAGAAACTAACAAGTCGCAGTTCTGGCTCGGCTACCGCTCTCTGTGCCCCTCTGGCTGGTACACCCGCTGGGACGAGCAGAGAGGTCAGCACTCCGTCCGTATATCAGAAGCACGCATACTAACACATGACAGAGGCCGGCAACTTCCCCGTCAAGCTCGACGCATAAGCAAATTTGGACTCTGTTGTGAGCAGGTTAGACGGAGGAGCCGGGCGACTGTATTACTTCAAGATGGATCGAGACCTCAAATAGAGCATTGGAGGACGTGTCGTGCGATGACGCTGATGACGCTCCAGGGCGCCGAATATGATTTCGTGAAAACTATCTGTAGTGTCCGCCCATTTGATCATTTGTACAAAAACTTGAACCTTGATACCGTTCCTTTAACCCCGCTGACCAGAAACTCCGTGCGCTCCCCTTGGCCGTTATAATTCTTACGCAAGCTAAGCAGTGTGATGAAGATTGTAGAAGAAGCAAGAAGTGAAGGGGCGATGAGAAGCGATGCGACTCGTCAGCTCACTTCTTCTTGCTCTTGACTTCATCCTCATCAGAACTCATAAACTCATCGTCCTCATCGAATCCAAAGAACGTTCTCGGCTTATCCTTGGGCGCCTTTGCCGGTTCCGATGGCGGTGTTGACTCTTTCGAACTGCCAACTTCCTCATCACCCTCATCCTCACTCATTTCCTCCTCCGTCTCCTCTGATCCTGTCGATCCTTGCGAAGTACCGAGAAGATTGTCCTTATACTTCCCGGCTTTCACGGCAGCAAGTACCGCTTCGCGGGTTCTCTCGTTAGACTCTTCTTTGTCCTCAACCCACTTTCCGTCGAGGCGACCCTTGCTGCCGTTCTTGATCTCGTCCTCGCGTTTCTCTGCAAGCTCAACGATCTGCTCCCATCTTTCGCGACGCTTCTCTTTCTCCTTCTTCTCCATCTCTGGCTTGATGGCGAGGTACTCCGCCAGAGCCTTGGCCTCGGTGACGGTCCGCAAACGTCTACCGTCAAGGTTTCGGCTTGAGTTGTTGGCATCTCCCTGATTTCGCTTCTTCTTTGAGGACATGCGACCACCAGCGGCTCGAAGCTGGGACCCAAAACCACCCTTGCCACCGCAAAGCGGTACTGAAAGTCGCAAAGAAACAAAGTCATCATCGATGGATGACAGAAGATCAGACACTGGTTTGGTAGACGAAGCTGACAGCTCTTTGTTGGAGACGGTCGTCAGGATAAGGCGGTTATCTGTGGCGGGCAGTCGCTCGTCAAGCTGTTGTCGCAAGTCGCTTAGGGTCGTCGTCGAGGAAACAGGCAGTACCAGTGTCGATGGTAGGCCCAACCCAGCAAAGGTGCTGATGAATACGTTGACGTTTTTGACAGCCATTTTGAAGTCGGAAATGCTTTACGTCCGTAGCCGAAGAATTTGATTTCTTGATTTGCGCCGACGCAATAATAAGTCGATGTGCAAGTGACGATGTCGAGGCGGGACAAGGACGCGAAGTGGCAGGCAAATGCTCAGTGTTTGGTTACAACGATGAATTATGAGATGGGCGCGGCTTATCGCAGATACCTAGCTACTGGGTGAGGCGCAGCACCCTGAGGAAGTGTGGCGGGTCTTGAGGATACATCGACTTATCGCTAGGCGTTATCTACACGTGATGACTCTGTGCGCCATTAGAGCGCCCCACACTTCGTCCGTTCCGCGTAGGGTTGACGCCCACTAGGCTATTCTACCTTCCCACGACGAATTTCGAAACTTTTTGTTAGTTCTCGACAGCGCTCGATCAGACATCCCACTCATCGACCAGCAGCGACCACGACAACCGCCACGATGTTGATCCCCAAGGCCGACCGCAAGAAGATCCACGAGGTTAGATTTACAATTTTCAGACGTGCTGAAAAATTGGGAGGATAGCGATTGCTGACGACGAAAATTACAGTACCTCTTCCGTGAGGGTGTCCTCGTCGCGAAGAAGGACTTCAACCTCCCCAAGCACCCCGACATCGACA